AAGTGATGTTATGACTCATCAAAACAATTTATTTTTGGGTGGTCATTTTAGATTTGTATTACTCAAACTGAATTTTTTTAAGGTTTAGGGGGAAGAAAATATGTCAATGACTTCATAGGAGTTGACGTTTCATTTTTTGGATTTATTTTATATTTATTTTGAATATTTTGAATTAAAAATAATAAAATATTCTTATATCAACTACAAACCACGTCGGGGTTAATAAATTAAAGACGTTGTAAATCATAATAAACGACTCACTTGTAAAAAGGACGTCGTTTAAAAGAGAAACCATGGCAGATGTTTCACCATCCGACGTAAACTCAATATTTCACGACTCAATCACCGTCGTTAAAAAGTAATACCTTAAACCCTAAACCCTAAATTATATATTTTTAAAATATAATTTTATAAAAGGGTTTATGATTTTACAGCCTAATATATAACAAACATAAACCGTAAACCCCAAAAATTATCCTTTAATCCTAAACCCTAATAAATAACAACCCTAAACCCTAAACCATCAAACTATAAGTGATGTTATGACTCATCAAAACAATTTATTTTTGGGTGGTCATTTTAAATTTGTATTACTCAAACTGAATTTTTTTTAAGGAAGAAAATATATCAATTACTTCATAGGAGTTGACGTTGCATTTTTTTTATCTATTTTAAATTTATTATGAGTATTTTGAATGAAATAGAATAAAATATTCCTACAAACACAACAAACCACGTCCACTTTAAGAAAGTAACGACGTTGTAAATATAATAAACGACTTACTTGTTGAAAGGACGTCGTTTAAAAGCGAAACCATGGCGAAATTTTCACTAAAATGAAGTCCCATCGACGTACAAACGGTATATCACGACTTAAACAAAAAAGGTGTCGCCATGTAATTTAATTACCACGTCATCTCTGTCGTCTAAATATCCTTTTACGTCGGATTTGTTTCAAACGATGACGTTGTTTCCAACACCAGAAGACGACGGGGTTTGACATACGGTTTTTGACAAATTATGTCGTTGGAAAGTTATTACACGTCGGTTACGCAATTTGTTTGTTTTTTTTAAATTAAGAAAACCTCAACAAATTTTCAGGGAAACAAAGGATGTATATTATAGACAAAATTTGTACATTATATAAAAATATCAAGTGTTCTAAAAATCCTCTAGTCCACATGAAGGCAACAAACTCTGCCCATTCATTCCTGACTTCATCAATGGCTGCTTGGGAGTATGGCGCTTGCCCTTTTCCCTTGGCAAAGTGCAAGCCATAAACAATGATTATTAAGCTTTATAAATAAAAAGAAATTCAATCACAAACGACTCTATTTTCATAACCGACATAGTATATCGATGCAACGACGGTAATTTTATAGGACCGTCGTTGATAATACAAAAAACCACATAAAATGTATCTGAAAATTTTCTTCTTACCGTCTTCTCAAACTCCAGGGAAGGATCCATGATGGTGTCTCTCATGAAGCGCATGACATAATACCCGCATTCGACACTGTTGGGTTGCTTTGGTGTGTCTGGCAGAGTTTTCCAAATGGGTGCTTTACAGCCTTGTCTGCCTATGTGGGAATTATAAATTTTTATAGCACTGTTCACCATGTTTTTGGCCTCCTCATTAACCACACGATTTCCGGGCAGAGGATCCAGAAAATAGACGGTTTCCTTCTTTGCTCTCACAATCAACAAGACCCAATGACGGCTGCACAAAATTAATATAAAACAAAGATATATAAAAAAGTCAGCACAAGAAAACACACAACGGTTATTTATAAAAACGACGTATTATATAGTTTCACACGACGAAATAACGTAGCAATCGACGTCATTATGAATTTATCACGACGGTAATTAACTAACGACGTGGTTAGAGGTTTCAAACGACTCAATAAATAAAGAATCGACGTGGTTAGATGTTTCAAACGGCACAAGATTAGTTAAACAGTTTTATACGCAGTGCATCATACAAACAAAATCCTGTTAAGGAGACTAACCCTGGATTGTAAGGCATCATGAAAATCTGTTCACCATCTGTCTTCTGAAGTTGACTGGCTACCAATCGTGATCTGTCAGTTAGTGACCCAACGTTGGCACTAACTTGAGCAGGGTCGATAAAGCCAACCATGTTGAACATATTTGCTTCTTTGAAATGATCATATAAGCACCTAAATATATAAAACAAAGATATATAAAAAAGTGAGCACAAAAAAACACACGATGGTTATTTATAAACAAACGACGTAGTATACAATTTCACACGACGCAATGAAATAGAAATCGATGTTATCATTAATTTATCACGACGGTACATAACTAACGACGTGGTTAGTAGTTTCAAACGATGCAATAAATAAACCACCGACGTCTTATGCTATAATGATTTTTTTTTCAACACAAATTTGAGTGTGAAATAAATATTTGATAAGGACAAACCTCATATATACTGCAAGCACAGTAGCCCCAATTTCTTCCATGCCTGCTAACTGTGTAATATCTTCAGGCAAGGCGAAGGTACTGCGATCTGCACCAAACACCTCATTCTCAATTGTAAAGGTCATGATCTTCTCCTGAGGCTTTAGTGTGGTTTCCACATAACGACAAAGGGATTGTAAGGAAGATGGCACCTCCACCTTTGAATAATCAACTACTTCAATACCCTGTTTAAAGAAATAAAGCAAAATAAAATGACGTGGTAATTCAATAAACACGA